ATATATATATATATATATATATATATATAGTGGATACAGCAGACCACATTTATGTTTCTCTTTGAGCATTGCCCTTTCACGGCAACCCTGATTTGCCACATTTTGCGTATCAAAACGGTCGCTAGTAACATCGTGGCACTTTAAACTAGCTTCTATTGTTTGTCAAAATTTCGTGCTTTAGTCAAAATCACGTCTTCTGGGCCCAAACTGCCCTGGCATTATCAAACCAGGCGTTTGCAAGATCGGTATCATGCCTGGGCATAGTCACTCTCCTGGCAGCATTGGAATCGTCTCTCGTTCCGGAACTCTCACCTATGAAGCCGTTCATCAGACCACGCAGGTTAGTTTTCATATTTGTTAAGCCCTCGAGTACGTGTATCTTGTACATAATGTTTTCCTTTCTAAGGAACGTTTCTACGCCCAGAAACCATTTTTCTCAGCTTCCTTGTTTCCGTACTATCCCTTACCGTGGGTTCTTCCCGTAAATAACATGCACTAAATTCTTCTGGTTGATTTATACATTGTTGTGCGACATTTTTAACCAAGGATTGAATACATTGAGTTGGTGACGCGCCAGCAAGTATTGCCGATCTTTGAGAACCTCCCGAACGATTGGGTATGGAGGTACCGGAAAATACCCTGCGTAGTGCTGCTAATCAGTCAAGCCTTTTTTCTGATCGTTAGCATGAAGTATGGACTATGGCCCTGTTATCTTTTTAAAAAATTGTGATGCGTTTATTAGCATTCTTTATTGGTTGTGTACTTACTAGGACCTTGAGAGGACTAATCTTATGTGGCTTTCAATCTACAAATGGCGTCTAATGGAATAGCATCTAACAAAAAATGATTACTGCGGTCTGCTGACCTTGGGGAACTGGTAATTTTGGCCGATTTCCGCTCTGTCATATGATTAGGTTATAAAGGTGCCACAAGCCGGTCATATTACAGCATGATAAATGTTGTCTACTACCTAAAAAGGCTTCGTCCACCGCCGTTGTCTTACTGATTAGGGACCTCACCCGAAACTATCACTGCATGAGTTTTTTGTTGTACTCTAGGCCTTTCGAATCTGACGCTGCAGCGTCTGCAAGACCGACCCATCTGAACCTCTGCCGATGGTCTGCATGTAAAGTAAACCCACAAGAGTTTTTTTAGAAAGGGGCAGAATCTGTCCTGCTTGCTAAGACGTGCGCACAAATACGGTATTGTCGGCACACGGGCCGTGCAGTATACACACTTCTTGGCGATGCGGCAAAAGGCCGCCATCTCTCATACTTCGTCAGTGATGTCATCTATTCGAATCGCCGTCCGAGTTGGCGCGGCCGACGCCGTGCTTAAGACAACGTTTGTAGTTCAGATTTATTTCGATAAGCAGTGTTTCAAATATGCGTTTTTGGTCGTTATCTAGACATGGTTGGCCCGTCGTTTTTTTGTGTTCAGAAAGGAAACGGCAGCTTTCCAGCGATTCTTAGACTCTCAACCTATGATCAGTAAAACATTATTGGCACCGGTTTATGACGTTATGGACTCTGGATCCATTCGCAACAATATCTATAACGGCCGATATTCGTACAAAAAGTTAGTAATAATTCCTTCTACGTAGACCAGCCCTATATATCCGAACTCAGAAGTTATTCATCGGTGTTATCCACTTTATTCGCAGCCCTTTGCACATGCAACCTCCCGTCTTACATCTCCACTTTAAAGAGGACTGATTTATTCAAAATGCGTAGTCTTCTAAACTCCTACTGCATATTTATTCTTTCTCCTGCAGGCCGGTCTTGGACAATCCCTGTGCATTGGTATCGGTGGCGACCCCTTCAACGGAACAGACTTTGTCGACTGTTTAGAGGTTTTCCTTAAGGATCCTAATACGAATGGGATAATCTTGATTGGTGAAATCGGTGGTCAGGCGGAGGAACAAGCCGCTGCCTACTTGAAGGAGCATAATTCGGTACCGTTCCGTCTTGACTCTTACCCTCTGCTTTAATGTCCGCCTTTTTGTTTTCTGCTATTGTGAATTTTTCGTCGGGCCAGACCTGGTTTTCATTTTGTATGCGTATGGGCCAACATATATTGAACCTTGTTTGTGTTATATATAGATCAGCCTAGCTCTTTTGTTGTCTGGTGTCAGTATCGCAGTTTTAATCTCAGCTCCGGACAATATTCGCCTCTGACCACACTCGCAGCTAAGTTCATTGGGAACTCTACTTTACACTCACTTCCTCATTGATGCTACTTTTCTAGCACCTACTGCTATACAGTGACGAGAGATGAAGATTGTTTCCTCTGTATTAGGGAACTATTTTGACTGCTGTCATGTTTGGAAACTCCAGTGCCAAAGTTTATCGTGCTCACTGAACATCTTAGGGTTTACTGACACCATCTTCTTAGAAAATCAAAACATTTTTTTTTGAAGATTCTTTACCTTGACCGCTGTTCCACAAGGTCTATAGTCGACAGGCGAATTATAATGTTATCTTCATTTACCTAAAAATTTTAATCCTAGCTATATTTGGTGCTCAAAGGCGGACAAAACAGAACTTATTATCTGTAAATCGGTCTAGATCAGTGAACGTTATTATGATGCGGCCTTAAACGCCCCCGGTTGCAACGGATGAGATGCCAACTAGTGGTCA